TATATATGCCGCTCTTATTACTTTAATAATCTTACATGCCTTGTTAAATGTTGTAAAAGTCATCTTTTGGGGTCAATCGGTTTGACCTCATAGATTATAATAAATAAACTCTCCCTTTATGAGCTTTAACCCTAGGAAGTTAGGTCACTCTATTTAACAACATTCAGTTAGGGAAATTCTGTTTTCAGCCGCATGCATCTATGTCTTCTTCGGATCCCGACAATTTATTCATCAATGATAGCATATAATTCTATTGTCTGAATTACAATTCAATTCTTGTTGAGTTACTAAATTATATTCATTGCAAATAAAAATTGGCATTGGTAGCCTGCTCACTATACAAATTAGAACAACTTTCTCGACAATTATACCATACCATATAACACCAATAAAGGTTATTATCAATTTTTTCCGACAGTTGATCCCCTAAACGCTTTGTTGATTGACGGGGCTAGACGTTATAAGATAATAATTAGCGGATATTGCAGAGATGGTTGATCAGTTGGTTGTTCTTGGCAGGGATTTTACAAGGTATGGATAATGGCAGTGTTGAATCGATCGGAGCGTACACCTGATGTAAGATTGGAAGAATCTTATAGTGAAAGGGTTTCGTTGTTTACAGTAATCTTGCTATGGAAATAATCATGGCATTGGACGATCATACAAAAAAAGACTCGGTCATTACGAACAGAGGGCGATGTTGTTTGTTTGCTACAATGCAGGTACCGCAGCTAAGCTAGATGACAAATTAATGGAAGATGTTTACAAATGCAAACAAAGCTTATAAGTTTGGTTATTGATTTAGAAGATCAAAGTTAGACACATGATTCGTTAGTTTAAGATGGAAACACTTCTATTGCTTTAATGCTATTATTATTTTCAAGTGCAATGAATCATTTGTCCATGAAATATTCAAATTAAAACAACCTTCATATAACAAATTTATATTTTTGTGAATCTACGCCAGTTATTCTAAAAATGTTTGTGGTACAAAAATGCTTCGATTATTTCAACATTTTCTATATAAAATATTTTAATGTCACGAATAAGTTTTGTCACTGACACTGTTACCTGACCTTTTCCGTGGAATTGGTCGCTTAATTTGGATCACACGATATCAAACACGCAGGTCCGTACAATATTTGTCCTAGTTATCTCTACGTGTAAGGCGCATCATTCCCTTTACTGTGTATGGTGGAAAACGATTTTCGCCACTAGCTACTACACTAGTGCAAAATGGCATACCACTTAAGGTGACGTTACTTTACATTACGCCACGTCACAGTAATGTAATGTATTATTAAATATTGCATGCTACAGGATGCGTAGAGTGGAGTAGCACGGCGTGGTGTTGCGTATATCGTGTGTAAAACCGAGAAAGATGTTAAATGGCTCGATAGATGCTTCTACGTGATTGAAATCTTTTGAATTCTGGTTAAGAACTCATTTCCATTTAGCACAACCTTCACTAAGCCTGATTTCTAATTCACGAATGGCGTTCAACTAAGTGTAATCTGAAGGACTACATGTACCTTTTTGATTCCATACACTCTATTTCTGTCAACATCTTCGATATCTCATTCTTCATTTCCTACATTGGTGGACAATCTCGGTGAACAGGCGGTATCTCGGACAAATTAAGCAAATGAAAGGAGAAGTATCAGATACCAGCAAAAAATGCATGGAATGTCGCCAGTCTCACTGAAGAAACTGTAGCGTAGTTGAGTATGAATGTCAGAGTTGGCTTAATCATTTCGACCTCAATGTTACCGGCATTTTTCACACACTTTTTTTTTTTAACGATACACGGGATAGCAGTGATATGGGTTGAGATTTCGTATTTGTGTAATTGCTCTGAAACAAGCAGTAGTTTGAAAAGTAAATATTCAGACAAGAAACAATCAATCGAAGATTTCCTTATTCAGATTTGAGCTTATTCAAACAGTATTTTCTCGCATTTGCGATATTTGAAGCACTTAATACTCAAACACTGATTCACTTGTAGGAAATAATCAAAAAGCAATTTAGCAGATCCTTCCATCATTAATTGTGTGTGAATGATTGTAAGCCCTATAAATTTGCTAACGAACGGATTTATGTTTACTTAATATAATTACTTAATATTCATTTTGTCATGCACAACTAATTTGAAAAGCATATTTTCTGCTCTTATTGTTTGCATTGAATCGTATAGATAACATGCGAAATAAAGCAAATCTCATAAATCTTATCGTTCCAAGAAATTATATCATCAGTCGTTAAACTGAACTCATCCAATAATACAACATGAAATTTTCATTATTTTTTCATTTTAATTCCACCTAGATGCATAGGTCAAATGTAGACCAAGGGACAGCTGGCTCTACTAGAAATCTGATTCAGTAATTCGTGTAGGAGCACACTTAAACAAATCCAGAATTTATCTCGATAATTCAATCCTGCAAAGTTTCCACCATTAGAAGAATCATTCAATTCTTTTATGCAGCAAATTCATCTAGTGAATGCTTATCATCATCGTATATACCGCACCTTTTTTGCATATGCAAATAAATATATTTGTAAAATGCAGTACTGATTTGATTATAGAAGAAATTTTTTGCCATTTGCTTTTGCCGTTTTAATTCTTGAAATTAACTTCAATTCTGAGAATCGGACTGCAGTTAAGCTGGGAATGAAAGGGAAGTGCGAAGTCGAAGTTTTCGAGTAACTCAAGCCACATGTATGGAAGTGAAGGAAAAAGTACAAAGGGTGAAGCGAAAATGGTCACTCGATAACACCTTAGGTCGCAGGAGAGAAAATACCGGGATTCGAATCCCAAACAATGTAGTACTTAAGATGCGAATTAAGTCAAACAATTGTTTTAAATGTAAAGAGAAGGTTTAATTGCAATACAGGACATTTATCATATATGTTTTGTCATTGCTATAGGTCACAGAGTGAGGTCATCCTGCAAGTAAGAAATTGCATCTCGTGAAAGTGACTCAATAATTGCTGCACACATATATATTGGAGGAAAGACCAACTAGTTCCATTTATACCAGCAGGTGTATTTTTTATTCACATGACTCATTAGGGTTTTTCCGTTTGAAATTATCAAATATATGAAAACTTTTCTGCCAATCTTATAAAGATTGATGATTAAACAACATTCATATGTGGTTAATGGAGAATTGGATGGGATGAATGGTACAATGAGGTAGGAGAGGCGAAACTCATTAGCTTTTGCTCAGATGTTTTGGCCTAGTCATGAATCGATTCCTTTAGGAGCAGGCTTCTCCAATCATTTCATTATACATTCTTTTAGTTACTGCAAGGGCATTTCTGCTCGTCTATTTATCGCTTAGATCTTATTACTTATTCAGGTAATACTGCTCGCTCTCCTGATCACTCTTTATACTGGTGTCCTGAATGTCATCAGTATCAGAGGATGGTTTTGGGCAGTGGTCAACATGTCCTATAAGTTTATTTTACATCATTGAGAGAAGTGCCCCAATTTTCGCTGCATTCTCGCCCATGGTAAGACATAGGTTGATTAAATAACGTTAATTTTATATATAGAAGCAATCGGTTTCATAACCAACAATATTAAGATGGTGAACAGACATATACACACACATACACATACATACACATATAACGCAATCATTATTGTCTCCTTCCCATATTGAAAGCCAACCACATAACAACTGTTCGCTCTTTATATTGTTTGCAATAACACATTTCTATCACTTATTCCTTCTCAGATTCTCCATTAGTCTTTCCTTCTCGACGAACTTTAACCTTTTATCTATTCATCATTCATACGTTATGAATAGTGCTACAGTGAAGACTGTGAAACAAACAATATGCCAGATGTGCTCGTTACCTCTTCCGTGAAGCATTGACTGTCTTTCAGGAAAGGGTACAGCTGAAGGAAAGACCTTCTATCTACTTATCCTTTTCTTCTCTTGTACATCATTGTTTCTAGTCGCAACAAACCTGAACAGTATATCCCTTCCAATTAATGAAAGAGCTAACTATCCCATTTTTCATAATTCCGCAAAAAGTTGACGCTCTTTCTTCTCTCATTGATTGGAATTTGTAAATAAATTTTCAACCAGGTGGTGAATTCGTAGCAGCTTCTGCTGCTAACTCTCCAGTATTTAACATTTCTTGGAAGAAAAGGTGTTACTGATTTGTCCAGTTTTCCCATTCCAGTGCATCCCACTTGACCGGATCTCTTTCCGGTTGCTACCACAGTGATGACTGTAGTGAGTATGATATTCCTACAGCTAACCTATACTTTACAATAATTGGAGAGCAAATCAACTTACTGCTTACTCATACACAAAACAATTGCATGCGTCTGTTCTGTGTGTACCTATGTGTGTCTGTTTGTCTGCAATATCAAATAATGAAAATGCTTACTCATCCGAGCATGGTGACAATTCCGAGCTTTGTCGTTCGGAACATTTCCAACATTAGAACAGGAAAAGTGATGACAGAGAGGATTCTGAACAGATTCTTTATATAACATCCTGTTGCGAAATGTATTTAAGACTGTGTTATCAGAATCAAATATCCTTGGGAATATCGAACAGAAAGTGTCAATGTTATTGCTTTTGGCTGGGTAGTATCAAATAAGCAGAATGATTCTGGGAACACATCCGGCAGCACTGATTACAATACGAAGAGCACAGAAAAGATACATCGGAAGTGCCGAGGACTCTCATATGAAATGACATGTCGCTGAATAGAAATTAAGGATGTAGTTATTGATTGTCAGTGCTCAAACTGTTTCAGCCAGGGAAAAAATGGTCTAGCTTTTACGATAGCAGTCAAAATAGATACCGCGAGAAAATAACATGCATCTTGTTCGAGAACCCTTAGTTTGTCATGGCTGAGTTCATTTGACGAGATGTGTTTCAAGGATTTACTGAGCCAAGGTGGGAAAGAGTGTAGTAGGAAAAGAGAGTAAGACAAATCCCGCCCTGTTGTTTACTGCATGATTCATTAGTGCAGTAAGCTCGGGGACATTCAAATGAAAAAAAGCCCACAGTTGCAGCTTGGACTTGAGTGAAACAATGTCGAAGACATGTGAAAGTAAGGGAGATTTTTTCTTGTGGCTTTGAAATAGTGACTGGTCGTTATTTGTGTCTAACAATGATGTCCTAGGCATTTTATTCGGAATTACGGAATTAATTAAATCTACTTTCATCTTTAAAATTCTGCTGAATGAAAGATCTCTTGCGGTAAACGATAACGCAATGTTGAAGAATAATGAATTTAGAATTTTTGGGAAAAATTTAACGAAAGAATAGTTCCAGGAACATCGATCAAAAAGCAAGGGCTACTTTATAGAGGGAATCCTGGTGTGAAACTAAAGTAACCATTAGTTTACTGTTTCTCAAATAGATGAAATCCAAGCCGATGCCTCAACTTCCAATTATTGTGGATGGTGATTGCGACTCACGATTCGACAAAGTTAAACAAGTTTTTCAGTAAGTTATTTATTCGATTTAATGATTTTCAAAATTGTGTGGATGACCGGCTGGATTCTAAGTCAGCTTTCTGAAAATATTCCGTCGAGTGCAAGCAAAGATATGTTGTAAAAGCAATCGGTATTGGATTTCGGAATTTAGTTTAATCCATTTTAAATTAAATTTATTAAGCGATGTTCCAAGGCTGTGATTTACAAAAATTTTCCTGTTTGATAGCGTCGTCCTGTCTCTCCGTAGACCAAAATAGGATATCTGCATTGTTTTTAATCATTGACTTCCTAAATTTGTTTTGAGCAATTTCAGAAGCTTCGAACAACACTAACTGAAAAAAGGTGACGAATCAGTGAAATACAATAAGGCATAAAACTGTGTAAATAGCATCACCTGATTTAAAAAGTCAGTAACTGATTTTATCTTAGTCAAAGCCCAGACAACAGTTTGTATTCACAAACGATCGCTTTATTCACCTAGAAAAATTCCAAGAGTCATATTATATTATTGCAAACAGTTTGAAGTCAAATAACTATTGTAACTATAAATTTTATTTAGCTTTAAAACACATGACGACAACTATTTTTATTTACAAATTGCATAATTTCGGAACGAAATGTTGAAAACGAAACAAATTGGGAAGGGTCGAGAGACCACCGCACATTTTTGATTTGATTGGAATCAGAGAAAGAAATAAAACTTATGTTCTCTCATTCTGGGTAGAATTGTGTTTTAGTAATAATTTCACACAACGATGGGAAAGTGAGGGTGCAGCATTCGCTGTATATCTGAAAGGTGAGAAAGTGGTCGATCTATGGGGTGGATATGCAGATTCAACATCACGCCGAAAGTGGAAAAACGATACAATGACGCTATTGTTTAGCTCTACTAAGGTTATATATATTATGCTATACTCTCAATATTACAGGGATTTTCTCCGAAGAACTATTGGAAGTTGACCGCAGAACTTGCAACTTTTGATGTCAATCCAGTTGCCAGTTGCTACAACATCATTTACACGATATCACTTATCACTACAATTAAAAAAAAAATTAGAAAAAAGTGATTCAGAGTATATGTGCGATATGTTTTGCGATGTTGATCGACCGTGGCTTGGTTGCATATGAAGATCTGGTTACCAAATATTGGCCTGAGTTTGGACAAAATGGTAAGGAAACGATTACTATCGAAACACTACTTTCACACCAGGTATGAAATTTTTTATAGAAAACTACTTTCAAATATGACATCTTTCACAGAATTACTTTCTTTACAGGGTGGACTAGCTTATGTGGACAATGTGATTGAGGAGTCCGATATAAGGGATTGGAGACGAATGTCGAAGATTTTTGAAGATCAAAAACCAAATTGGACACCAGGACAAGAAGTCGGTTATCATGCCGTGACATTTGGCTGGTTGGTCGATCAGCTAATGCGGAGGATTGATCCTGAGGAACGTTCATTGTCGCAGTTTTTCAAAGAAGAAATAACTGAGCCACATAGTATGCTCATTTTTTATTGATTTTTTGCTCATTTAAATTATCAAGTTATCAAAAAAAAACTTTTTCAAAATCAATTCAATGGTATGTAAAAAAACGAAGAATGGTATGTACATATACATATATATATATATATATATATATACCATTCTCGTCTTTTGTATATATATACATTATATATATTT